AGTGGAGGGGCTGATTTGCTCTACTTTTAGGTAGAGGGGCTGATGCGCCACAACAATGGACGTAGAGGGGCTGAATTGCACCTTCTGCCAAAAAAATTTAGGTACTGATTCTGTTTTTAACCAAAAAAAAAAAAAAAGGAAAGAAAAACGAAAAAAGAAGATATTTTATAACATGACAAAATATACACACTGTCCAATGCAATTGAGTCAGAGGGAAGGAACCAAATCCAAATGCTCAAAGGATGTTTGATTGCATCTAAATCAGAAAATGGGGATGGTTGCAAGCAAAGAGTAAAAACTGGTGATGCTCATTGACAGAACGACTAATAACACCAAAAGACACTTTCCATTCCATTACCTTTTTTTTTTTTTTAAAGAAAAAGGGGGAAGACACTTTCCAAAACGTGATACTCGTTTTCTTTTCTCAGTGCGTTAAGTTTCGGTCCCACGGAATAAAGAAAAAGGGGGAAGACACTTTCCAAAACGTGATACTCGTTTTCTTTTCTCAGTGCGTTAAGTTTCGGTCCCACGGACAAAACAACTTCTTTCTATAAGACGAAAATTGTACAAAACGTGTTAATAATAACGCGCCGCTTGTTTTATTTGAAACGGTAAAGTTTACTAAAATTTTATTAAAAAATATTAATTTTATTTAATATAATAGTAAAAAATAATTATTTGTTAATAAAATAATTATTATTTATTATTTAATAAATTAAAATTAATTTATAAATTAATATTTAGACATTATAAATGTTTAATTGAAAAAAATTACAAATTTTAATTAAATTTTATACGAATTTGATGGTTTTAATCATTTTATTGATGGTTATAGCTACACTCATTAGATTTGTTATGTTTATGTTGTTAAATTGTTATTATTTGTTCAGATTAGATTGTTAGGGTTTATTCTTTGGGTTATTAAGATTATTTGTTAGAATTCTTAGTTACATTAGCTTAAATATGGATGTTATATATGTAAAGCCGAATTTATTTGATTTAGTGTGAGCTTATCATTCCCATTATCTTCCTATCTTGAATCTTGTGTTTCTTAGCAAACCCAACTCATGGCTGAGAAAGTGGTGTACCGTCGTCCATGGTCCAACAAATCCAAGCTGCCAAGTGCCTGATATAATACTAAGGATGTTTTGGCATGTAAAGAAACTTTCAACCTATATTTAGAAGAATTTAGGGGTATTTTAAATTTTTTACACCTTAATACTACAATAATACAAGGCAAAATTGACATTTTAAAATGAAAAACTTTTCCAAGAAGCAATTTTTTTCACACAATTTTTAAAATAAAAAAACTTCCCTTCAACTTTTTACAATTTATTTGACAACTTTTCTAGCGTTAATTTCTTATTAAATATGAAAATTTTAACTCAATAAAAACTTCAATAAAATTTTATTACAAAACTTATTAACTTTTTGCATAGTAATTTTTAAGCTTTTAAATGATATTTTTTCTTTTTTTTTTTTTATAAAATTGACTTCTAACCAAATAAGTTATAATTTCTAATTAATATTTAAAATTTTAAGCTAACGGCACCAGTTAAGCCTTGAGCCCTAAGTCTTGGGTTATGTAGATCTTTGGTAACTCAGCCCTATGTCTTGGAACACGCCCCCATGGTGTTTAGCTTGACCTAGGATTTAATAAAGAGGGCATGACTCAGGCTCTAGGGTGGCTTCGGGCAAACTGCGCTGGAAAATACCTCTCTTTTAGTAGGCTAAAATCAATTTTAAACCTCTCACCTTATAAAATAGATAGATTTTAGCTTTTAACTTTATAATGTGACATTTTTAACATTTTATTTTATAAAATTAGTAAATTTTAATCCTTAACTTTATAAAATTAGTAGATTTTAACTCATCACCTTATACTATAACACTTTTAGCCCCTTATTTATACGAATCGAAGAAAATAACTTTTACTTAACATCAAGTTATAATATTTTGTTAGTTTTGTTAGCTAATTGTTAGCATCCATTAGCATTCTGTTAATGGAACTAACAAATGAAATTAAATTTAAATTTCATGTTTTATATAATAAAATGCTAACGGATGTTAACAGTCAACTAACAAAACTAATAAAATATTATAACATAATATTATGTGTGAGTTATTTTCTTTAATTTGTATAAGTGAGGGGTTAAAAATATCATAATATAAGGTAAGTGATTAAAACTTATCAACTTTGTAAAGTGAAGGGCTAAAACTTACTAAATTTATGAGGTACAAAACTAAAAGTATCGGTAAAAAACTAAAACTTATCAATTTTGTAAAGTAATAGGTTAAATGTTGATTTTAACTCTTTTAGTAGTGTGAGGTGGTACAGGGTGTGACTTACGATCTAGGTTGGCCGAGGAGGTAACTTAGGTTTTGGATTGGCTTAGGGAGCATGACACAGGGTCTAAGGCAAGCATACGCGCTCTGGGTTCAGGATAATGCTCGATAGGCTCCAAGGCAATTAGGGAAGTGACTCGATGACTAGGACGGCTCAGGGGTGTAAGCCGGGTATAGACAACTCGTGGCATGATCTGCGAATCGTCTCAAGACGCGACCAAGGATAAGAGGATTCACATCTTTTATTTTCTAATATACCGCTCCAACCCATCCTCTGTTCCTATAAAGAAATGATTCAATAAATAACCTATTATGTTTCTAGTGCAATTTTACATGGGAGGAATCTTCGCTGCTCCAAAATTTGAAAATCTGATCATCAAATTAAAATTTGATCCCACTTTGTACTAAAGATAACAATCTTCTAAGTGCACGATTGGGATTGCTTTGGGTACTATAATTGTAGCTGTAATGAAATATATTGTATTAAAATTGTGGTTAAGAATTATTTTAAAATTTAATTATTTATTTCTTAAATGTGTTGTAAATGATATATGATAAATTTTATTAATTATTAATTAAAATTTTAAAAATATTGTATAATGTATAATTATTAAAATAAATAATATTTATTATTTCTTAATAATTTAAGTTTTTTAAGTTTTTTGTAATTGATGTTCTTTTAGAATTGTCGAGATAGAAACTCATAAAAAGAGAATGAGTTTTTAATTTTTTATAAAATTTTTAAATAAATTGAAATGTTAAATTTAAATAAAATATTATAAATTATGATACAATTAAATTAAGTAAGGTTGGGTTTTAATAAATAATTTAGTAATTGTATTAAATATAAATTATTATTCGTAAAAATCATAATAAAAAAACCTAAAAATAGATATTTTAATTATATATAAAATTATTATAAAACTACAATAACTTTATAACTTAAAAAATAATAATTTAAAAAAATTTACTACATACACATATATCTAATAATATTATATAACTAAAAAAAGTCGCTAATCATAATCTCGCACTCTAAAATTAAAAGATGAAAAAAAGGGACCTAACTTTGGGACAGATGTAGCCAATAATTCATGCCTCCGGGCGACCACGACCAACCCTAACTTCACTGGCGAAAGCCAAATTGCCAGCTGCACATGCACATGTTGTGTTCCACAAAGTGAAGAAAAGGTAAAATAATTTGTGGATAATTTTTATATGTAATTTTTTAATATAATTTTATATATTATTAATAAATAAAAATTAAAATTAAAATATCTTAATATTTAAAATATATAATTTTTTATATAATTATTAATTAATATTTTTATTTTAAAGATACGGGCATCAGTTAGAGAGCATTAGTCAGGATATTAAAGCATAATTAAAATAATATCTTCTAAAAATCTAGTGAATGTTTTAATTATGCGTTTTCTACTTTTAATGAAGGGTAAAATGTCATCATTTATCATCATCATTCATTATTTTTTAAAATAACTGATTTTAAAATTATAATTTGTACTATTTCTATGGCAATTTATGTTTATTAGAAAACAAATCATAAGTTACTTTTGCACTTGACCTTTGAGGTCCAGTAACATTAATCATCGGTACATTTCCTTCATGGCATGGTTCGAAACCGGCCCTTACAAAATATGTTCAAAAAAATCATCAGTTACTTCTACTTTACATACTTTTTTTTTTTTCTGTCCCTCGGCATCTATTTGCCTTCTTCTCTCTTCTATTCCCCAAAGTTTAGAATCAACTTTCTAACATATTCTTATTTTTTTTATCTCCTGCTCCTCCACTTCGTAATAAATATTTTAAGACTTTTTCTTTCCTTTCTCCATCACTGCTTAGAACAACTATTGTTAAATCGTTTCAAAAAAAAAAAAAAAAACTATTGCTAAATATCGTAAAACAAATTAAAATATCTTTCTTTGTATAATGAGCCTGGAATGCGCATAGGTCTAAGGAAGTGGTCAAATTATTTTACTCGTTTCTTTTTTGATCTTTTTCAGCAAGATATTAACAACGGTTCTTTTAAAAATTGAAAATTTATACAGCTAGATATTAAAAAAAAAAAGAAAAAAGAGTGCAATGTAAATTGACTTTGATCACTTCCAGTAACAAATTGATTTCAATTCAGAAACAAATTGGGAGTACGAGAGAGAGCAAAATAGGGGAATAGGATAAAGAAGAAGACAAACGGATTTGGAGGGACAGGAAAAAGGATCTGCAAATTAGAAGTAAAATGAGGGTACTTTTAATTCCCATTAATGTGGCACAGATTAATTTTTTTTATTATTTTATTAAGACTGTGATATTTATTTATTAACATATAAAATTTTAAACAAAAATTTTATAGATAAATTATTTACATATTATTACTTTCACAAAAAGTTTAGCACCTTAGTTCATTGGTTAAATAAAATTCAACAATCTTAAATATGTAGTGGACAACAATATTTCTTTTAACCAAATAGTTATAAATGATAAATTAATTTCAGAATTAAGTTACATGATTTACATAATTAAAAAATATATTTAATAATTATTTTTTAAAATATTAATTAAAATAAGATATTTTATATTAAAAAATGTCCTACACTATCCTCATAATTTATTATATATAAAAAAATAATTATTTTAAAGTTAAAACCTAAAAACGATCTTATTATCTCAATCTATAGAGGGAGGGTATCAAAGGAGATCAAAGCCGAGATAGTCGTGCAGAAGGCTGGAGTTAGTGGTGGAGTAAGAAAAACCCTAACCTCGAATCAACTCAATTTAAAGTTTAAGTTAGGTTGAACTAAATTCAAGCTCTCGATTGAACTCATGAATTGAATCCAAGTTAAATCTATTGAAACTCAACTTATTACTATAGCATCAAACTCAAATTCAAGTTTTAAGGAACATGACTTGACTTATTTATAGGGTTAAGAAAGAGTTAGAGACAGGAAGCTGGAGACTAAAGACGAGATAGAAAAAAGGACTCAAAGTTTTGTGCAGTTGAATGTGAATATTTTAGACTTTATTTAGTAAGGTTATTATTTTTAGTTTTTAGTTTTGATCTTTATAAAATATATAATTATTGAGAATCAAAATTAATAATTTGTTTAAAATAAATTATAACACTAATAATAAAAAGTATAAACTTGTTTAATAATATTAAAATTATTTTTATTTTTATTTTTTTAATAATCTTGATAATATATTATAAAAAACACATTAAAGTAAATATATTTTTTATTTAAAATTACAAAATTTATAACAATTAAAACCAAAAATCAGAACTATATTAAACTATTTGATCGACGAAAATTACACTTAATTGACGCCTGTCAGAAAGACTAAAATATGGTCTGACTTAAACATTAGTTAAACTTAATTCAATTCCCAAAATCAGAAAATAGCCGGCCATTCCTTATCTTTTTGCCTCAAAAGGAGTAAAAAAATTTGCCCCGCCTCACATACTCTGTCTATGTGTGTTGTCTATTCTTACAATGACTAGCATTTTTTTTTCTTTTTAAATTTCAATTTAAATTTTTTTGCTAGAGTATAAAATGTGAACCATAATATTGATGCAATTTTTGAAAAAACTTTACTCAAGTACATATTTTGGAGAATAAATGCTAAGTACCATTTAAGAGTTAAATATATAATAATATAGCACTTGACTTTTTGAGTCAACTGATAATCTGTCAGCTTGAAATGCATTCTTCTTCTATGAGTGAGTTTCAAACCTGTCCCTTAACAGCTTGTTCAAAAAAAAATATATAATAAAATAAGTTTATATAAAATAATATTAATTAATTGTGATAATATAACATTAACAAAATGCACCTGACCTTAAAAATCAAATGTCATTAGTCATTGAATATGTGCATTCTCTCTCTTTTAACAAGTTTCGAACCCATCCCATGTCAAAATATTCAAATATATATATATATATATATATAACATTAACAGAACATAAAAGAGAGCTTTGCCATCGTATGTGCTAGGTTTCAGAGGGAATGCAATTATTCAATAGCAAGCATCCGAATGGAGAGTTTGCTCCAATGATGAATGTGATCATTTTTCTTATCTCAATGTGAGTTCATCCAAAAAGAAATAAGTTTAACAACAATGTATATCTCCTAATATAATGATACTCACCAAAAAAACTAGAACACGAAAGTTTCACCAGATGGTTATGGATACATTATATCGTCTGTTCCATCTCCAAAATTGAATATAGGTTTGACAACTTGGCTTCAAGAAGACTCTTCGTCCACATTGCTCTTTTCACTGCTGTTGGTTGTTTCACTATCCTGAGTAGCTTCACTGGTATTTGCTCCTCCTTCAGATAGTTCTACTTCTGCCGGCTTTGCAGGCCCTGGACCAGCTGATACTTTCACCATTGCTGGACGCAAAAGCCTCTCACCAAGCTTGAACCCCTTGCGGAATTCTTGAAGGATGGTGCCTTCTTCGTAATCTGTGGAATCTTCTCGCATAATTGCTTCATGCAGCTTCACGTAGAAATGGAAAAAATCCAGGTCATCAGAAAAAGTTGAGTTACAACATCGAACATTCAAGATTCTCATTTAAATGGGCGAGGACAAAAGTTTCTACTTTATCACCCATTTACCTCTTTTAACTTTTAACTATTACAGTATTAGATTAGATTTCATGTTACACATAAAATCTTATACAGACTCACCAAGACCGAGTCAGCTCGAATCAATCAAGACTTGGTTTGAGTTAAAATCGTATCCAGGTCTTCATAAAACCTGAACAGAATTGACTAAAATTTCGATAAAGTTCATCAAGTACTCGACTGAATTTCGAGCCTACTCGGTGCTTGACCTGCATCAAGCCAATGATCAAACAGTAGCAATCATTATATCAGTTAACAACTCATGCAATTCAGATAAAAGTCATATGTTCTCTCAACCAGTGATCAAAGAAACAAGGTCCCAATATCTGATGATAAAAAAGCATTAATAGCACAAATTTATCATGCATAACAAAGGTCAAAAGTAGAAGGTGAATTACCATTGGATCAAACGGTTGTCCAACTGTTTCCACAGGTACAACACCATGGGAGCCCAAAATCTCCATGAACTGTTTATAGATGCTTTGATAGCTGTTATTAATCTTCTCCTCTCCCTCAGTTGCCACCTTAATTTGGTCTTTAGCTCTCTCAAAATTGTCTAAAACAGACAACAAGTTTTCTAAAACTTCTCCTTGAGCATTTTTTACCAGTGAAAGGCGCTCTCTCTCTGTCCTCTTACGAAAATTGTCAAAATCTGCACTGATCCTAAGAATTCGGTCCTTCTCTGTAGCTAATTCTTCAGACAAAGAAACCACTTTCTTTTCAAGGTCAACTTTCTCATCTTCGATGGATTGTAGAAAGGACTCAAACTCAGCTACCTTAGCTTCATTACTACTCACTAATGCTTCTTTGTAGGATTGGAGCAATGCCAAAACAGCAGAAGTAGATATTTCCTCAACATTGCTATTTTCATCACCAGCACCATCGTCGACAGCAACAGCACCATCTGAAGAGTCCTGTGAAACAAATTTATCAGAGAAGAATAATGAACAGAGGGGCACCTGTACATCTCTTAATATACAATAAAGTAGAACAATGTTATATAAATTTTTAACCATTGAAGTCTCATCATAATTATAGGCGATTGATAATCCAAACCATCAGCAGTTTGACACCCTAGAACATCACCATCACCCAAATAATGATCCTTGTGGAACAAACTAAAATTAAAAGTTGTTCTGGGGGTTTGTTAATTTCTTGATCATAAACGATAGGCATTTCAGAAAAAGTCAGATGCCTGAAAATTCACATGCTGGCTAGGGATAGGGAAAAAAAAAATAAATTACTAATACAAGTAAAAACATAAAATTCCAGGGAAGCCAAAAAGAAAACATGTCATTCCAGATCAATCCTAACAAGCAGAACCAAGGACAACAAAACAGAATTAATTATATTCAACCACCAAAGAACTAAATTCTTTTAAATTAGTCAAAGGAATGAGATTTTTTTTATGGTAATAAAGAAATAAGAATCTTTGAGAGTTGCAAAGAAGGTAAGAGGACAAGTTAAAAAATCAGAGCAGTAAAACAAAATAAAAATTCCACAAAGAAATTATGGAATAAATAGGATACAAAGCATCCATGCCTAGCCACAGAAGTCCCCTTTTTATTTTTACTTTTATTTTTTTCGTACAATACTTTCCTAGTTGCCTTCAATCATTTGAGGATTCAACTAGAAAATATCTATCAAAATCCTTTTAACATGAATTTTAAGTTTTTAAGTGCTATATACCTCCAAGATATACTGCATTAAGCACAAAATAAAAGACCATAAATGAGAATTAAATAATATACAAGGCACAAACCTACATAACCTTTCCTGATAATTATAATACCTCTTCATTAATATTGGCTCAAAATGTATCTCTCCTTTGGATTTTTACCAGATACAAATGCCAGTTAAATAATCACACTGAAGGCACACCAAATGATGCAGCCATTTAAGAATTTATCATTCACAATATAAGAAAAACAATTTGGTAACAGCCCATGCATTATGCAGACAATCAAAGCCAAGCTATGCTATGGCCAATGACTGAGTCAATAATGTAACATAGACTCAATATCTCACATGATT